TGCGAAAAGTGGGTCATAATAAGCGTGTATGCACCTGGAAAAGAGAGGAATGCAGAGGAGAGAGAGAGATTTTGGGAGATGTTAAGTGAATGTATAGGAGCCTTTGAACCAAGTGAGAGAGTAATTGTGGTAAGGGACCTGAATGCTAAAGTAGGAGAAACTTTTAGAGAGGGTGTGGTAGGTAAGTTTGGGGTGCCAGGTGTAAATGATAATGGGAGCCCTTTGATTGAACTTTGTATAGAAAGGGGTTTAGTTATAGGTAATACATATTTTAAGAAAAAGAGGATAAATAAGTATACAAGATTTGATGTAGGGCGAAATGACAGTAGTTTGTTGGATTATGTATTGGTAGATAAAAGACTGTTGAGTAGACTTCAGGATGTACATGTTTATAGAGGGGCCACAGATATAACAGATCACTTTCTAGTTGTAGCTACACTGAGAGTAAAAGGTAGATGGGATACAAGGAGAATAGAAGCATCAGGGAAGAGAGAGGTGAAGGTTTATAAACTAAAAGAGGAGGCAGTTAGGGTAAGATATAAACAGCTATTGGAGGATAGATGGGCTAATGAGAGCATAGGCAATGGGGTCGAAGAGGTATGGGGTAGGTTTAAAAATGTAGTGTTAGAGTGTTCAGCAGAAGTTTGTGGTTACAGGAAAGTGGGTGCGGGAGGGAAAAGGAGCGGTGGAATGATGAAGTAAAGAGAATAGTAAGGGAGAAAAAGTTAGCATATGAGAAGGTTTACAAAGTAGAAGTGATGCAAGGAGGGAAGAGTATATGGAGAAAAAGAGAGAGGTTAAGAGAGTGGTGAAGCAATGTAAAAAGAGAGCAAATGAGAGAGTGGGTGAGATGTTATCAACAAATTTTGTTGAAAATAAGAAAAAGTTTTGGAGTGAGATTAACAAGTTAAGGAATCCTAGAGAACAAATGGATTTGTCAGTTAAAAATAGGAGAGGAGAGTTATTAAATGGAGAGTTAGAGGTATTGGGAACATGGAGGGAATATTTTGAGGAATTGTTAAATGTTGATGAAGATAGGGAAGCTGTGATTTCGTGTATAGGGGAAGGAGAAATAACATCTTGTAGGAGTGAGGAAGAGCCAGTTGTGTGTGTGGGGGAAGTTCGTGAGGCAGTAGGTAAAATGAAAGGAGATAAGGCAGCCGGGATTGATGGGATGAAGATAGAAATGTTAAAAGCAGGTGGGGATATAGTTTTGGAGTGGTTGGTGCAATTATTTAATAAATGTATGGAAGAGGGTAAGGTACCTAGGGATTGGCAGAGAGCATGCACAGTTCCTTTGTACAGAGGCAAAGGGGACAAAAGAGAGTGCAAAAATTATAGGGGGATAAGTCTGTTGAGTATACCTGGTAAAGTGTATGGTAGAGTTATTATTGAAAGAATTAAGAGTAAGACGGAGAATAGGATAGCAGATGAACAAGGAGGCTTTAGGAAAGGTAGGGGGTGTGTGGAACAGGTGTTTACAGTGAAACATATAAGTGAACAGTATTTAGATAAGGCTAAAGAGGTCTTTGTGGCATTTATGGATTTGGAAAAGGCGTATGACAGGGTGGATAGGGGGGCAATGTGGCGGATGTTGCAGGTGTATGGTGTAGGAGGTAGGTTACTGAAAGAACATAAGAACATAAGAAAGGAGGATCACTGCAGCAGGCCCGTTGGCCCATACTAGGCAGGTCCTTTACAATCCATCCCACTAACAAAACATTTGCCCAACCCAATTTTAATGCTACCCAAGAAATAATCTCTGATAACTATCTACTCATTTGCAAGTCCCAATCAGATCCAGTCCCTCCCACTCATGTATTTATCGAACCTAAATTTGAAACTACCCAAAGTCCTAGCCTCAATAACCCAACTAGGTAGACTGTTCCACTCATCAACTACCCTATTTCCAAACCAATACTTTCCTATGTCCATTCTAAATCTAAACTTGTCTAATTTAAATCCATTACTGCGGGTTCTCTCTTGGAGAGATATCCTCAAGACCTTATTAATATCCCCTTTATTAATATTTATCTTCCACTTATACACTTCGATCATGTCTCCCCTCATTCTTCATCTAACAAGTGAATGTAACTTAAGAGTCTTCAATCTTTCTTCATAAGGAAGATTTCTAATGCTATGTATTAATTTAGTCATCCTACGCTGAATGCTTTCTAACGAATTTATGTCCATTCTGTAATATGGAGACCAGAACTGAGCTGCATAATCTAGGTGAGGCCTTAAAAATGATGTATAAAGCTGCAGTATGACCTCTGGACTTCTGTTGCTTACACTTCTTGATATAAATCCCAGTAATTTATTTGCCTTATTACGTACGCTTAGGCATTTCTGTCTTGGTTTAAGGTTGCTGCTCACCATAACCCCCAAGTCCTTTTCGCAATCCGTATGGCTAAGTTCTACATCATTTAATTTATAAGTACTAGGGTTATGGGCACTCCCGAGCTTCAGAACCTTGCATTTATCTACATTGAACTGCATCTGCCACTTTTCTGACCAAGAATAGAGTTTGTTTAAATCCTCCTGAAGTTCCATAACATCTACGTTTGAATCAATTATCCTACCTATCTTTGTGTCATCGGCGAATTTGCACATATCACTAGTAATTCCCTCATCAAGATCATTGATATATATTATAAACAACAACGGGCCCAAGACTGATCCCTGTGGAACGCCACTTGTTACAGATTCCCACTCGGATTTAACCCCATTTATGGACACTCTCTGCTTCCTGTCTGTGAGCCATGACTCGGTCCACGAGTGCACTTTTCCCCCAATGCCATGAGCTGCCACTTTCTTTATGGTGCGGAACTCTATCAAAAGCCTTACTAAAATCTAAGTAAATAATATCAAATTCTTTATCGTGGTCAACAGCCTCAAAAGCTTTACTGAAGAAAGTTAATAAATTAGTTAGACAAGACCGGCCTCTTGTGAATCCATGCTGAGTATCATTAATCAAGCTATGCTTATCGAGATGGCTTCTTATAATCTCAGATATAATTGACTCTAGTAATTTGCCTACAATTGAGGTGAGGCTTATTGGGCGGTAATTTGACGGTAACGACTTGTCCCCTGTTTTAAAAATAGGAATTACATTAGCCATCTTCCACATATCAGACACTACACCTGTTTGAAGAGATAAATTACAAATATTAGTTAATGGTTCACAGAGTTCCATTTTGCATTCCTTAAGAACCCTTGAAAAAACCTCATCAGGACCCGGCGACTTATTTTGCTTCAGTCGGTCTATCTGCTTCACAACCATCTCACTAGTGACTGTGATGTTACATAATTTATCTTCTTCTAGCCCACTATAAAAATTAATTACTGGAATATTGTTAGTGTCCTCCTGTGTAAAAATTGAGAGAAAATAATTATTTAAAATCGAGCACATTTCATTCTCTTTGTCAGTAAGATGCCCATAGTTATTTTTAAGGGGACCTATCTTATCTCTAACTTTTGTTCTATAGACCTGGAAAAGTTTTTACGAGGATAGTGAGGCTCAAGTTAGAGTGATTAGGAAAGAGGGAAATTATTTCCCCGTAAAAGTAGGCCTTAAACAAGAATGTGTGATGTCACCGTGGTTGTTTAATATATTTATAGATGGGGTTGTAAGAGAAGTAAATGCGAGGGTCTTGGCAAGAGGCGTGGAGTTAAAAGAAAAAGAATCACACATAAAGTGGGAGTTGTCACAGTTGCTCTTTGCTGATGACACTGTGCTCTTGGGAGATTCTGAAGAGAAGTTGCAGAGATTGGTGGATGAATTTGGTAGGGTGTGCAAAAGAAGAAAATTAAAAGTGAATACAGGAAAGAGTAAGGTTATGAGGATAACAAAAAGATTAGGTGATGAAAGATTGGATATCAGATTGGAGGGAGAGAGTATGGAGGAGGTGAATGTATTCAGATATTTGGGAGTGGACGTGTCAGCGGATGGGTCTATGAAAGATGAGGTAAATCATAGAATTGTTGAGGGGAAAAGGGTGAGTGGTGCACTTAGAAGTCTGTGGAGACAAAGAACTTTGTCCTTGGAGGCAAAGAGGGGAATGTATGAAAGTATAGTTTTACCAACGCTCTTATATGGGTGTGAAGCATGGGTGATGAATGTTGCAGCGAGGAGAAGGCTGGAGGCAGTGGAGATGTCATGTCTGAGGGCAATGTGTGGTGTGAATATAATGCAGAGAATTCGTAGTTTGGAAGTTAGGAGGAGGTGCGGGATTACCAAAACTGTTGTCCTGAGGGCTGAGGGAAGGGTTGTTGAGGTGGTTCGGACATGTAGAGAGAATGGAGCGAAACAGAGTGACTACAAGAGTGTATCAATCTGTAGTGGAAGGAAGGCGGGGGTAGGGGTTCGGCCTAGGAAAGGTTGGAGCGAGGGATAAAGGAGGTTTTGTGTGCGAGGGGCTTGGACTTCCAGCAGGCATGCGTGAGCGTGTTTGATAGGAGGTGAATGGAGACAAATGGCTTTAATACTTGACGTGCTGTTGGAGTGTGAGCAAATTAACATTTATGAAGGGGTTCAGGGAAACCGGCAGGCCGGACTTGAGTCCTGGAGATGGGAAGTACAGTGCCTGCACTCTGAAGGAGGGGTGTTTAATGTGGCAGTTTAAAAACTGTAGGTTAAAGCACCCTTCTGGCAAGACAGTGATGAGTGAATGATGGTGAAAGTTTTCTTTTTCGGGCCACCCTGCCTATTGGTGGGAATCGGCCAGTGTGAAATAATAAATAATAATATAATTAATATTATATTATATAAATAATTATATATATATATATATATATATATATATATATATATATATATATATATATATATATATATAATATATATATATATATATATATATTATATATATATATATATATATATATATATATATATATATATATATATATATATATATATATATATATATATATATATATAATATATATATTATATATATAATATATAATAATAATAATAATAACCTCACTATACTGACCTCCCTGACCACCATGCCCATCATGCCGGTCCATGAACCATTACTGAGTCTAACACCCCAGGCTCCGTCAGGAGATCGCACCAAGGAGTACCTGGTGAGATATGTAAAAGGATAATGAAACTTATAAGTCACACACTAGCAGGTGCACTGAAAATTTGTAGTATATCACTTTAATTATTCATTTGAAGTGCCAGGAAATTCAATCACCTGTAGAAAACAGTGAACGCCACACTAGAACTCATTCATCGGTTATTATGAAGGTTATTCAACACCACTAGCAAGCAATGATGATAAATCTAGTTCTTGTAACTTATAAAACATATTTCTCTAAGCCAATTGAATGTTTCAGAAATATTATATTGTTGTTATCGTGGCCATGTGGACCGAGTGTAGCCTTTTCATTCGCCAGGTTTCAGGTTCTTATCCCACCTATTCCTTGAAAAAGAATATATTCTTTACTATGATTTTTCTGAAATATTGACTTCACTTAGAATCCAAAGAACTACGTATGTTCAATAAAAATCTTGGTGATGAGAGATTCTTCATAAAATCCTTGTAGCCTTTACAGCCTACTGACGATCCGTAAATCCAACACTTCTATCCACCCTATAACATAAAGCAAAGGTAGTGTCCCATGCAAACTGGTCATCCTGTAAAAGTCTCTCAGGACTGCTGAGGACTAAGTCTAGCAGGTCTTAGTTATCATGGATATCTGCTTTCCTGCCTCTTCACTATCAACATCATGAACAAGTAAATAGCTTTTTTGATATTATAGCATTATTTGTCAACGTTCCCACTCACATAATCAATGACACTCGTAAAATATTCAACGTCACTAACCTCCCACTTACTCTCTATGACTTTAAAGAGTTGACTGAGCTTCGAGTTAAGTTTAACTTTTTCAGGTACTAGGACGAGCTAATGTTTTTGAAGGGCCTCCCGCATTTCTAGTTCTGAATTTCTCAAGGAGGAATGTGTTAATATTACTAAAGTCATCCATTACATTCATTTCGTACTTATTTTATCTAGAGCTACAGTAACAGGGCACAGACTATCCTGCCCAACACTCATAATGTAAGGACTTCAGAAAAAAATAAATAAATAAAATCTTTATTTTCTTGTATGTAGACGTGGCAAACACGCCACCCAGGCACACACACACACACACACACACACACACACACACACACACACACACACACACACACACGGACCAGGACATCACATACGAGAGACCCCTTGGAGCTAGTGATCACGTGGTTCTGAGCTTTGAAAACATAGTAGAGCTACAAGTCGAGAGGGTAACAGGAGTTGAATGGGAAAAACCAAACTATAAAAGGGTCGATCAAACAGGTATGAGGAACTTCCTGCAGGAGGATCAGTGGGACAGAGAATTGGTAGGAAAGTCAGTAAACGATATGATAGAATACGTAACAACAAAATGCTAGGAGGCAGAGGAAAGGTTTGTTCCCAAGGGCAACAGCAATAACGGGAAGACCAGAACGAGCCCTTGGTTTACCCGAATGTGTAGGGAGGCAAATACTAAGTGCACTAAAGAATGGAAAAAGTACAGAAGGCAAAGAACCCAGGAAAATAAGGAGATTAGTTGAAGAGCAAGAAACGAGTATGCACAGATAAGGAGGGAAGCCCAGCGGCAGCACAAAAACAAAAAAGCATTGAAAGTCAAGTCTGAACCGAAACTGCTGTATAGCCACATTAGGAGGAAGACAGCAGTCAAAGACCAGGTCATCAGGCTGAGGAAAGAAGGTGGGGAACTCACAAGAAACGATCAAGAGGTATGTGAGGAGCTCAACACGAGATTGAAGGAATTATTTACAGTGGAGACAGGAAGGAATCTTGGAAGACGCCAACAAGGAATGTACCAACAAGTGTTGGGTGACATACACACAACTGAGGAGGAGGTGAAGAAGTTGCTAAGTGATCTTGATACCTCAAAGGCGATGGAACCGGACATCTCCCCATGGGTCCTTAGAGAGGGAGCAGAGATGTTGTGTGTGCCACTAACCACGATCTTCAACACATCCCTCGAAACTAGGCAACTAACTGAAGTATGGAAGACGGCAAATGTAGTTCCCATTTTTTAAGAAAGGAGACAGAAATGAGGCACTAAACTGTAGACCAGTGTCACTGACGTGTATAGTATGCAAAGTCATGGAGAAGATTATCAGGAGGAGAGTGGTAGAGCACCTGGAACAGAACAAGATTATAAACGACAACCAGCATGGATTCATGGAAGGCAAATCCTGTGTCACAAACCTCCAGGAGTTTAATGACAAGGTAACAGAAGTAAGACACGAGAGAGAGTGGAAGGTTGACTGCATTTTCTTGGACTGCAGAAGGCCTTCGATACAGTTCCTCACAAGAGATGAGTGTAGAAACTAGAGGATCAGGCACATATAACAGGAAGGGTACTGCAATGGATCAGAGAATACCTGACAGGGAGGCAACAACGAGTCATGGTACGAGATGAGGTATCACAATGAGAGCCTGTGACGAGCGAAGTTCCACAGGGGACAGTCCTAGGACCAGTGCTGTTTTTGGTATATGTGAATGACATGACGGAAGTGATAGACTCGAAAGTCCCCCTGTTTGCAGATGATGTGAAGTTAATGAGAAGAATCAAATCAGCTGAGGATCAGGCAGGACTCCAAAGAGACCTGGACAGGCTGGATACGTGGTCCAGCAACTGGCTACTTGAATTTAACCCAGTCAAATGCAAAGTCATGAAGATCAGGGGAAGGCAAAGAATACCGCAGACAGAGTATAGGCTAGGTGGCCAAAGACTGCAAACCTCGCTCAAGGAGAAAGATCTTGGCGTGAGTATAATACTACTGAACACGTCTACGGAAGCACACATCAACCAGATAACTGCTGCAGCATATGGGCGCCTAGCAAACCTGAGAATAGCGTTCCGATACCTCACTAAGGAATCGTTCAAGACGCTGTACACACCCACACCTGGTCAAGCACGTCATGAAATTAGAGAAAGTGCAAAGGTTCGCAACAAGGCTAGTTCCAGAGCTAAGGGGATTGTCCTACGATGAAAGGTTAAGGAAAATAGGCCTGACGACACTGGAGGACTGGAGGGTTAGTTGAGACATGATAACGACATACAAAATATTACGAGGAATAGATAAGATGGACAGAGACAAGATGTTCCAGAGATGGGACACAGAAACAAGGGGTCACAATTGGAAGTTGAAGACTAGGATGAGTCAAAGGGATGTTAGGAATTACAGAGTTGTCAGGAAGTGGAATAGTCTGGAAAGTGAGGTAGTAGAGGCAGAAACCATGCACAGCTTTAAGACGAGGTATGATTAAGCTCATGGAGCAGGGAGAGAGAGGACCTAGTAGCGGTCAGTGAAGAGGCAGGGACAAGACCTGAGTCTTGGCCCCTGCAACCACAAATATGTGTGTACAAATAGGTGAATACACACACGCACGCACACACGCACGTAAGCACACACACGCACGCACAAGTACAACTAGGTGAGTACACACACACACACACATAGGGGGGACATGATAACGACATACAAAATACTGAGAGGAATTGACAAGGTGGACAAAGACAGGATGTTCCAGAGATTGGACACAGTAACAAGGGGACACAGTTGGAAGCTGAAGACACAGATCAATCACAGGGATGTTAGGAAGTATTTCTTCAGCCACAGAGTAGTCAGTAAGTGGAATAGTTTGGGAAGCGATGTAGTGGAGGCAGGATCCATACATAGCTTTAAGCAGAGGTATGATAAAGCTCACGGCTCAGGGAGAGTGACCTAGTAGCGATCAGTGAAGAGGCGGGGCCAGGAGCTCGGCCTCGACCCCCGCAACCTCAACTAGGTGAGTACAACTAGGTGAGTACACACACACGCACACACACACACACACACACACACACACACACACACACACACACACGCACACACACACACACACACACACACACACACACATCAAAGACCAATATTGCGACTGGCAAGACTCGAACCCGAGATATTAAGCAGCCTTCCAGGAAGCCAACTAAACTATCAACGCTCTAGATCACTACACTATGGCAAATACCGTCAAGTGAAAACAATAAATATATTTTCCCCAACACTTGACACATTCGGGGGGTGGTAAGCTCAGAGACGAATATCATTCTTTTCTCGTTTGGATACCAGCCTTACGAACAGTACACAAATCCGTGTTTCCATTAAACATGCCTTAAAATGATTATATTTTTCTTTTAGGTCATTTCGCGAGTGTTCGAAGATCAGCGCATTTAACAAGAGACAAAAATATATCAACAGAGACAAAACAAAATTAAGATTCGCCTTAGAAATGTTGTGTTAAGCGTCGCTTCATCAAGGTGGCCTCTGTGAATGATAAAAAAGAAATATATATACTCTTAGCATAATAGAATAATAAAAAAGAACGGCGTTGTTAGTATCAGGTGTTACTAGTGTCAGGAATACGAACACATCTGTGGTCTGTAAAAGTGTCAGAAATTGCTGTACGTTTTACCAGTAATTAGAAGAAGGCAAGATGAACAGGAAAGAGAAAGTACCTCAGGTATTAGTGTGTTAGTTCGGAGACATGCAAATATAATATCAATAAGATGGAATATGTTAGTAAAATTCTGTAAACAAGAAATACATGAAAAGCGAAGTTTCTTTAGCAACAGAGTGACTAGTTTATACAATCCGGTTGATAGCTATAACGAGAGAATGAATTAGAAAGAATAGACATGTTGGAACCAAAGAAATGAGGATAATAACTGCCAAGTAGAGGAAGAGATAAACAAAAAATTCTTCTCATAACATTCTGTATTGTGGATGCTTTTGAAAAATAGAGAATGTATATATCGTTGTGCATAGGCTAGATATTCATATCCACAGCTCTGTGGTGTTTTCTACCTCACGTCTATACACAGTTGCTTGTACATTAGCATCTTTTCCTGGTAAATATACAATTCATAGCACTGGAGTTTACTTACGTAAAGTTAAGTGCACCAGAAAGATATTCCATCAACTTTACCAAGGAACCTTGGAACTGAAACTTGGGAGGTTCAGAACCTTTAGGGTCATTTACCCTCACTAATCTACAGAAGCCAGATTCCTCGATCGCCACCAGAAAATTCGGCCGATGGTGCAACCTATAAAGAAACAGACGGTGGATATTATAAAAAAAATTACTTATTTTCTACATTATCATACATTTTTTATTATATTATTAAATGTTCTTGCTCATTTCTTGTGATGTATTCCATAAATTTCTAAATTATAAAACTATTTAACGGCTATATGTTTGATGGTCATTACACTGTGAAGGGAAAGAATGAATATTAGAATGAATATTAGTGATGAATATCAGTGAAAAAAAATTACCGAGAAGTATATGAATAAAACACGAAATGAAGAATATGGAATATACCGAGATGACTTATAACTATTTAGCCATCACTTGAGGGCAAAAACTATTGTATACCGACTTTAGCGTCACCTACCAGCCTTTCTTCACACTACACTTTGTGTTAGTGAATGACGTGTGGAACCAAGATTACTTGGCTCCTTGACAGTCGTGAGTATTATGCCCAATTATTGTGTTTGTCTATTATTTCTCGTAGCTGTCTTGATTTAGTTGTACCTTATTTTCTTTAACGTAAAGCTATATTTTATTTCTCTCGCACAGTTCTTCCTGTTGAGTGAGTGACCCATTTTTCATGATAGTAAATGGTTTATACTTCTCTCCGCACCCAGAGTGCTTTGATTAGAGCAGCGGATCCTTGGGTAACATGACGAGCTGTTTAAATTTTAGGATATCAGGTTGCCCTCAAGAACCTGGTTCTTAACGAAATCATACATCCCAGCAACATCCCAGCAATTCCAGGAACAGCTGTTAAAAATTGACCACTGTCTGGAAAACCTTCCAGCTCCTGCACCCAACATCTTGCTCCTGGGGGATTTCAACTTAAGGCACCTAAAATGGAGGAATATAGCAAATAATATTGTTGCAGTAATAACACCAGGAGGCAGCTCTGATGAAAACTCACACTCACGCGAGCTTTTAAATCTCTGCACAAAATTCAATTTAAACCAGCAAATAATAGAGCCTACTAGACTGGAGAATACACTAGACCTCATCTTCACTAACAATGATGATCTGATAAGAAATATCACCATATCAAAAACAATATACTCAGATCACAACATAATTGAGGTTCAGACATGTATGCGAGGAGCCCCAGACCGACATAATGAGATTAGTCACGAGGGAGCATTCACCAAATTCAACTTCAATAACAAAAACATAAAGTGGGACCAAGTAAACCAAGTCCTAACCGATATAAGCTGGGAAGATATACTAAGCAACACAGACCCCAACTTATGCCTAGAACAGATTAACTCGGTAGCACTCGATGTATGCACAAGGCTTATTCCTCTAAGAAAAAGGAGTAGATGTAAAACAGAAAGAGACAGGTGCTCCCTTTACAGGCGACGGAAAAGAATAACAGAGCGGCTAAAAGAGGTCAATATATCTGAAATGCGTAGGGAGACACTGGTCAGAGAAATAGCAAGCATCGAACTTAAGCTAAAAGAATCCTTTAGGAGTCAGGAATCGCGGGAAGAACTAAAAGCCATAAATGAAATCGAAAGAAACCCAAAGTATTTCTTCTCCTATGCCAAATCAAAATCGAGAACAACGTCCAGTATTGGGCCCCTACTTAAACAAGATGGGTCCTACACAGATGACAACAAGGAAATGAGTGAGCTACTCAAGTCCCAATATGACTCAGTTTTTAGCAAGCCGCTAACCAGACTGAGAGTCGAAGATCAAAATGAATTTTTTATGAGAGAGCCACAAAATTTGATTAACACAAGCCTATCCGATGTTATCCTGACGCCAAATGACTTCGAACAGGCGATAAATGACATGCCCATGCACTCTGCCCCAGGGCCAGACTCATGGAACTCTGTGTTCATCAAGAACTGCAAGAAGCCCCTATCACGAGCCTTTTCCATCCTATGGAGAGGGAGCATGGACACGGGGGTCGTCCCACAGTTACTAAAAACAACAGACATAGCCCCACTCCACAAAGGGGGCAGTAAAGCAACAGCAAAGAACTACAGACCAATAGCACTAACATCCCATATCATAAAAATCTTTGAAAGGGTCCTAAGAAGCAAGATCACCACGCATCTAGAAACCCATCAGTTACACAACCCAGGGCAACATGGGTTTAGAACAGGTCGCTCCTGTCTGTCTCAACTATTGGACCACTACGACAAGGTCCTAAATGCACTAGAAGACAAAAAGAATGCAGATGTAATATATACAGACTTTGCAAAAGCCTTCGACAAGTGTGACCATGGCGTAATAGCGCACAAAATGCGTGCTAAAGGAATAACAGGAAAAGTCGGTCGATGGATCTATAATTTCCTCACTAACAGAACACAGAGAGTAGTCGTCAACAGAGTAAAGTCCGAGGCAGCTACGGTGAAAAGCTTTGTTCCACAAGGCACAGTACTCGCTCCCATCTTGTTCCTCATCCTTATATCCGACATAGACAAGGATGTCAGCCACAGCACCGTGTCTTCCTTTGCAGATGACACCCGAATCTGCATGACAGTGTCTTCCATTGCAGACACTGCAAAGCTCCAGGCAGACATCAACCAAATCTTTCAGTGGGCTGCAGAAAACAATATGAAGTTCAACGATGAGAAATTTCAATTACTCAGATATGGTAAACATGAGGAAATTAAATCTTCATCAGAGTACAAAACAAATTCTGGCCACAAAATAGAGCGAAACACCAACGTCAAAGACCTGGGAGTGATCATGTCGGAGGATCTCACCTTCAAGGACCATAACACTGTATCAATCGCATCTGCTAGAAAAATGACAGGATGGATAATGAGAACCTTCAAACTAGGGAGGCCAGCCCATGATGACACTCTTCAGGTCACTTGTTCTATCTAGGCTGGAATATTGCTGCACACTAACAGCAGTGAAACATATAAGTGAACAGTATTTAGATAAGGCTAAAGAGGTCTTTGTGGCATTTATGGATTTGGAAAAGGCGTATGACAGGGTGGATAGGGGCAATGTGGCAGTGTTGCAGTGTATGGTGTAGGAGGTAGGTTACTGAAAGCATGAAGAGTTTTACGAGGATAGTGAGGCTCAAGTTAGAGTATGTAGAAGAGGGAAATTTTTTCCAGTAAGTAGGCCTTAGACAGGATGTGTGATGTCACCGTGGTTGTTTATATATTTATAGATGGGTTGTAAGAGAAGTAATGCGAGGGCTTGGCAGAGGCGTGGAGTTAAAGATAAAGAATCCACACAAAGTGGGAGTTGTCACAGCTGCTCTTGCTGATGACACTGTGCTCTTGGGAGATTCTGAAGAGAAGTTGCAGAGATTGGTGGATGAATTGTAGGTGTGCAAAAGAAGAAAATTAAAGGTGAATACAGGAAGAGTAAGGTTATGAGGATAACAAAAAGATTAGGTGATGAAAGATTGAATATCAATTGGAGGGAGAGAGTATGGAGAGGTGAACGTATCAGATTTTGGGAGTGGACGTGTCACGATGGTCTATGAAAATGAGTGAATCATAGATTGATGAGGGAAAGAGTGAGTGGTGCATTAGAGTCTGTGGAGACAAAGAACTTGTCTTGGAGAAAGAGGGATGTATGAGAGTATAGTTACCAAGCTCTTATATGGGTGTGAAGCGTGGGTGATGAATGTTGCAGCGAGGAGAAGGCTGGAGGCAGTGAGATGTCATGTCTGAGGGCAATGTGTGGTGTGAAATAAGCAGAGAATCGTGTTTGGAGTGGAGGAGGTGCGGGATTACAAACTGTTGTCCAAGGGCTGAGGAGGGTTGTTGAGGTGGTTCGGAATGTAGAGAGAATGGAGCGAAACAGAATGACTTAAGAGTGTATCAGTCTGTATGGAGAAGGCGGGTAGGGTCGGCCTAGGAAGGTTGGAGGAGGGGGTAAGGAGGTTTGTGTGCGAGGGCTTGGTGACTTCCACAGGCACATATCGCTCCCATCTTGTTCTATCTTAATCCGAATGAGACAAGGATGTTTAGCACAGCACCCTGCTTCTTTGCAGATGTCACCAACAGCATGACAGTGTCTTTCATTGCAGATCATGCAAACTCCAGGCAGACATAAATCCTTCAGTGGGCTGCAGAAAACAATATGCAGTTGAACGATGAGAATTTCATTACTCAGATTGGGAACATGAGAAATAAATCTCATCAGAGTAAAAACAAATTCTGGCACAAAGAGCGAACCCAACGTCAAGACTGGGAGTGATCATGTCGGAGGATCTCTTCTTCAAGGACCATAACACTGTCATCGCATTGCTGAAAAATGACAGGATGGATAATAAACTAAAACTAGGAGGCAAGCCATGATGACACTTTCAGGTCACTTGTTCTATCTAGGCTGGATATTGCTGACACTAACAGCACCTTTCAAGGCAGGTGAAATTGCCGACCTAGAAAATGTACAGAGAACTTTCACGGCGCGCATAACGGAGATAAAACACCTCAATTATTGGGAGCGCTTGAGGTTCCTAAACCTGTATTCCCTGGAACGCAGGAGGGAGAGATACATGATTATATACACCTGGAAAATCCTAGAGGGACTAGTACCGAACTTGCACACGAAAATCACCCACTACGAAAGCAAAAGACTTGGCAGACGATGCACCATCCCCCCAATGAAAAGCAGGGGTGTCACTAGCACGTTAAGAGACCATACAATAAGTGTCAGGGGCCCGAGACTGTTCAACTGCCTCCCAGCACACATAAGGGGGATTACCAACAGACCCCTGGCAGTCTTCAAGCTGGCACTGGACAAGCACCTAAAGTCAGTTCCGGATCAGCCGGGCTGTGGCTCGTATGTTGGTTTGCGTGCAGCCAGCAGCAACAGCCTGGTTGATCAGGCTCTGATCCACCAGGAGGCCTGGTCTCAGACCGGGCCGCGTGGGCGTTGACCCCCGGAACTCTCTCCAGGTAAACTCCAGGAGAAAGCGGATGATGATGTAACCTTTAATATCAATGATTACAACAAAATAATCGACTTTCTGAACAACACCAACACTTATAAACCTACCACAAAGCAACATCTCGATGAATGCACCAATATCTTCCTACCAAAAGCACTCTACATACGCCATAGTTCTGAACAGGGTACGAAACTATTAAAACCGTTACCAGAACAATTTAGTTTAGCCAGGTTGAATGAACTACCAAAGATACACACACGCTTGAATTCTTATGTCTTATCGTATCAAGTATCAGATGTACCTCGCATAGATACCCAGTCATAAATTTATTTAACATGGAAGAAACCATAAGGCATGCTCATCTCAAGCACTCTGGAGACCTCCTTTCCCGCAGCAATAACCTTAACATTAAGAATATACACACTGCCTCATTTGATGCTACTGTACCTCAATTAATAAATGATCCCACTATTGCAGTAACTGATCTACTCAAACACATACTTACGAATGGCAATAGCTCACCTCAACCCCGCCATCACTTCATTGTCTTCCTCAATTTGTGTCTTAACTCCATCTCCTTTAGATATGACAACCAGATTTTCAAGGAGTGTTTTGGCTTAGCCATGGTAAGTCTGCTGAGTGCTGTCCTTGCTAGTATTTTTATGAAAAATTGGAGTCACGTGGTTCACATGTGTCCATGACATTATGATCACATACCCAAGATTAATTAACATGAATGACCTCCATATGATCAACACCGAAACTATTATTTAATTCACTCTGCATGAAAATAAAGGTAAGGTACTATTTCTTGATGTTCTATGCTGATCACCAGACAAAGACGCTTTATTTTTCAGAGTCATCTGAATGCTCACAAATAAAGATGACCTTACTCATTTTTACTCACACCATATTACTCGCCCCATAAAGGGCATGGTTTACAGGCATGGTCCGTTACATTACTCGTTCCTTAACATGGATACACTTCTCCTTACTTTATACATTATTGCAAAAGAAGAACTAAAACTATATTTAACTCTGCTAATAACTCCACTGCCGAAAAATCCAGATTCTTGATTCTATCTGGAGAAATGGCTAATGAGCAGATCCTCTAAATAAATTAGCATCTCCTAATTACTAAGGCAGTCAAGTTGATAGTTATTACACTAGCATTTCAGTGACTGCGACTATTTTCTTGCGGCAGTATTGGACCTTCACACAGGTGTGTGGCAGCAGACTAATTTGAATATTATGATGCTGTAGTCCTTTAGAGAGGTTCCTTAATGCTGGCGATTGACTCTTGATCTTAAGAATTGGACTTGTGCTCCAGTTCCTTGAATCGAGTCTGAATGCCTTCTATTCCTCAGACGCTGCATAACTCCTAAGAGCTTACTGCTTCCCCATGAATGTAATAATAATATAGACGTATATTCCATAAAAGTGAAATATCTCAAATTAAGAGGTTAACAAAATGATGAAGAGAAGTCTTGCCACAGCCTGGCACCACTGGAGATACAACTATGGATCTCAGGTGACAATTAAAATATATCCAGATAGAGTCAGAAAGCCTCTGGTGGGAGAAGTCAAGCCTATGATGCGGAACTACACATTTTTTATCAACATTAGCCACCACTCATCTCCGGTACAGCAGAATATGGAAGGAAGAACAGCCGCCAGTCTAGAAAATACAGGGATGTTAATTCGTCAACTCACCTACATTGTGGTACATTCGGAGACCTTAAGCAAGTGAAGGCTGTGGGTATACAAATTTCTGAAAGAGTTAGACTAAGGACGCTAGAGTGGTTAAATTTTCTGCTTCATCGCTTCAGTGTTGCAATCCAGAGAGGTAATGATTGTTGCAGTCTGGACATACGCCTCATATCTGAGGAGTTGGATCACTTATTTGGAATGTGAAGAATGTCAGACATACTTCCCAATAGTAACAGAGCACTAATGCTAATGCATTCCTTAAAAATATGTAATAAATTTTATTTGATAATTGAATTTTGAAGTCTGTGCACTTTCAGTAAGTCAGCTCTTAAATGACTAATGGTGAGTGTGTTTCCGTCTTTCATTCATCATACCTTGATTGGACAGCTGATGCGGTCAACAAAATATATAACTAAAACTTTGTCATTTGTAACCCATTATAAATTACGATGATAAATTGTTTAGACAATTATCAAGTTTCTGTTTAAGCTACAGTTTAGAAGGAAAAATGTGCATTTACATATAAATATAAAATACATAAAGATATGCATTATTAGTTTTGAAACTCACTTTGAGAATTTTTCCGGGAAGAGTGGGAGGTGTGAGGTGAGGAGGAGGCCACGACGAGGTGTCCAGGAGGCCACCTGCACAACCTGGGATCCCCGCGGACTATACGGCAGCTGGACGTAAACACTGCACCTGTAACACCAACTTATACACTAGTTCTTTGTTGAAAATACATTGCAACATACATTGATATATGTGTGTGTGTATGTGTGTGTGTGTGTGTGTGTGTGTGTGTGTGTGTGTGTGTGTGTGTGTGTGTGTGTGTGTGTGTGTGTGTGTGTGTGTGTGTGTGTGTGTGTGTGTGCTCATGCTCACTTATTTCTGGTTGCATGGGTCGAGTCACAGCTCCTGGCATCGCCTCTCAACTTGTCGCTTGCTACATTTACTTCCCTCTAGCCGCATGGGCACTGTCCTACCGATTCCTAGAACTATGCATGAAGTCTGCTTCTACCACATCTTTGTCAATGTTACCCAACTTCGTCACCACCATGAAGCTAAAGAAGTACTTCCTGACCTTCTTGTGACTCATCTCTGTCTTTACCTTCAAATTATCCCCCCCGTTTATCTTTTTCTCTCCTCTCAAGCAGTGTGTCTTTCCATGCCCTAAGTACTTTGTATGTTGTTAACATATAATCAGATTCAGTTCTTTTAGACTCTGGGACTAGTCTCGTTGCATACCTCTGCACTTTCTCCAGTTTCTAAACATGCTTTATCAGGTGTGGGTTCCATGCTTTAGAAAGCCGACAAGTTGATGAGAGACACTTGTTCAACGTTTGGGTATATTTACAGTGGAAACGATTTGTCAGCCAGTGGTTTCATCAGTCCGCTGCAGAGAAGAATGGTGGAAGATGAGAAGGAGTTTGAGGTAATTAGTTCCTCAGCCTGGAGTCGATGTATTTAGTCCACTGATCTTGATAAAATTACAACAATTGCGTGGAAAAGGGCTTATATACCAGAATGGTGAGTTGAATCATATGGAGACGGAGTTACCGTGGAAAATTTCACAAGTGGAAGTAGGTCATGCCTGTAGGTTGCTGTGTCTGCAGCATATAAATAAGCGCATATGTTGTACTTTCATCAAGATTGATGGACTGAACACATTGACTCCAGGCTGCGAGACTGATTTCCTCAAACTCCTTCTTATCTTCCACCATTCTTCTCTGTATTGGACTAAAAAAGCTACTGGCTGGCAAAACGTTCACTCCAGCCTCGCTCGTCCTGTCATACTTCTTGAAACTATATATGGAGTCTGCCTCCACCATTTGCTAGTCGCAGTGTTGTTACTGATCAATACGAATCGTTCGTGGATACAATAATATAAAATACTGCTCGTTGGGCTAGTACACCAAACAGGGACTAGAATGAAATTAACTCAGAAGCATCCACACCACTGTATGTCCTCGGATGACGCGTAAAACACCTAGCTTGGCTGGGTGCATCATTCTTGAGGACTATTTGGTCAAATGTACTAGAGCATCATGTGTTTTCGCTCACCATGAGGCAGGCCAAAGCAGAATGGGTTCGACTCCTTGGCTAGTCGCAGTGTTGTTATTGAGCAATACGACCCACCCATTCATGGGTGCAGTAATATAAAATAGTGCTCCCTGGGCTAGTATATATATATATATATATATATATATATATATATATATATATATATATATATATATATATATATATAATTATATATATATACATATATATATATATATATCATATATATATATATATATATATATATATATATATATATATATATATATATATATATATATATATATATATATATATATATATATATATGCAAAACAACCACTCTGAAAGAATAGAGAAATTCCAAGCGCTTTCGTGACTACTCACACTATTGATAATGTGAGTAGTCACGAAAGCGCTTGGAATTTCTCTATTCTTTAAGAGTGGTTGTTTTGCATATTCTGAAATCACCTGTTTGCTGTGATCTTATTGCATATATATAAATATATATATATATATATATATATATATATATATATATATATATATTATATATATATATATATATATATTATAATATATTATATATATATATATATATATAATATATATATAATATATATATATATATATGTCGTGCCGAATAGGCAGAACTTGCGATCTTGGCTTAAATAGCAACGCTCATCTTGCCATTTAGGACAAGTGCAAATTTGCGTGTGCAATAATTTCGCCAAAATCATTCTGAACCTAACGAAAAAAATATATTTCACTGTATTTGTTCAGTATTAAATTACTGTAAACAAATCTAAAATATATTTAGTTGGGTTAGGCTAAAATAAATTGCTCTTGTTATAATAAGGTTAGGTAAGTTTTCTAAGATTCTTTTGGTACAAAATTAAAAATTTTTGCATTAACATTAATGAAAAAATTATATCTTTAAACGTATAAGAGAAAATTTTAGAATGGACTAAATTTTAAATGAGTTCTTGCTAATTGACCAGTTTTACATATTCGGCACGACATATATATATATATTTTTAATATATATATATATATATATATATATATATATATATATATATATATATATATATATATGTCGTGCCGAATAGGCAGAACTTGCGATCTTGGCTTAAATAGCAACTCTCATCTTGCCATATAGGACAAGTGAAAATTTGTGTATGCAATAATTTCGCCAAAATCATTCTGAACATTACGAAAAAAATATATTTCACTGTGTTTGTTTAGTTTTAAATTATTGTAAACAAATCTAAAATATATTTAGTTGGGTTAGGCTAAAATAAACTGTTCTTGTTATAATAAGGTTAGGTAAGTTTTCTAAGATTCTTTTGGAGCAAAATTGTAAATTTTTGCATTAACATTAATGAAAAAAATATATCTTTAAACGTATTAGAGAAAATTTTAGAAAGGACTTAATTTTAAGTGAGTTCTTGCTAATTGACCAGTTTTACATATTCGGCACGACATATATATATATATATATATATATATATATATATATATATATATATATATATATATATATATATATATAATATATATATATATATATAAATAACAACACTGCGACTAGACGAGGACTAGAACCCATGTCGTTTTGGCCAACCTCATGGTGAGTGAAAATCATATGACGCTCTAACCCACAGGATCACTCAGTCCTACAAGAATCACGCACCCAGAAGAGCTAGGTGCTTTACCGTGATCCAAGGACATACTGTGGTGTGGGTGCCTCTGAGCTAATTTCATTCTACTCCATTTAGACAGATCTCCTTAACTAGTTGCCTTTGTAAAAACCTTTGAAAGAATGATACTTAACAGACTCTACTACAGAGTCAAACACCAACTTTCCCCTCACCTGTATGGGTTCATGAAAGGTAAAAATTAATAGAATTGCATTTCCACCTTTCTCACTGCACAAACGTCGACTAGTTTTACCACATATCTTGATCTAAAATCTACATTTGGTGTCACGAACAGAACCGTTATACTACATGAACTAGTCAAAATGAATATTGGTGGTAGCCTACTCTGCTGGATAATAGGATACCTGTCATATAAAGTCTCCTCTGTACTCTACCAAGGCTTTAGAAGTGAGTCTAAAGAAATGTTCCTAGGTACACCACAGGGAGGAGTTCTCAGTCACATGCTCTTTAATGTTCTGATTAATGTTCTACCTATCTTACCAGCATAGCTATAAGCTATGCTGATGACATCATGATTCATACAACAGGGCATAAGAAGATGAGTACCATTCTTAATGAAGTTCAAGCAATTTGTAATCGATTAGACCTCTTAATTTCTTCCTCTAAAATAGAGATATTAACAAGCAAACAACATCCCCCACCCATCTATTACCAGGGTGAAAACATTAACCACGTTAAATCTTACGGATATCTTGGTGTTGATGTACCCTTTAATAGATCCACAATACCACAACTAAATAAGAAATGCAAAGATAGGATAAATGCTCTCAAAGCTGTTGCTGGCTACAACCCCAACTATGGTGCTAATGTGAGAATCGTGAGAATGATGTACATAGCCTATGTTAGGTCCTTAATTAATTATGCTGCTCCCATGTTGACATTAGCTAGAGAAAGTCCTTTCCGACCCATGGAGTTAATGCAAAATGAAGCTCTCAGAATTATTCTTGGGTGTCCCAAATCTACAAAAGTTCTTAATATGAGGAAGGAGCTTGGTAGTTCTAGTATCAGTGATAGGATTATTAAGATTAACACTACTCGGTATTAGAATGTTAAGAAATGAACCAGACAGTGTCACTATGAATCTTACTAAATGTCTAGAAGTAAATACACACAGATCCAAATGGATTTTGAAAACATGCAGTTATATTAAGTTTTATAACCTGCTTGAACTGTATCACTGTAGGCAACGAGAGCATTTCACCCCTCCATGAAAGATGTGTTCATTTAATATCACATACCTGCAAGTCCCTCCCAAGAAGCTCATTGCTAGTGATCTCTTCCTTAAATCACTTGTTAAAGCAACTGCTCAAGAAGAAATTTCTCGCCTAGCTGGTAGTAATAAGTTATCAGAAGTTATATACACTGATAGATCTAAACAGGAGTCTTCTGGCAGGGCTGCATCTGCTCTTGTTGCCACCTCCCGTGTTAAGAACGATAATAAACTTGTTGAGTTAGGCATAAGAATTAACAACTAGGCATCTACACTGCAAACTGAATTGTTTGCAATCCTAATGGCGTTAAAGCTAACTTATGACACTGAGCTTGACTCTGTCATCATTACTGATTTTATGTCATCAATGAAGGCACTTGACTCATATAATAACTCCAGCAACATGCTCATTGGAGAAGCCAGGTATAGATACTCAAAAATCCAGGAAAAAGGAATTAATGTACAAATGCTCTGGATCCCATCACACATTCTGTCAACCCAGGAGAAAGGGAGTTTACATTCAATTTCTTTTTCCACGGTGAATTTAATAAACAAGACCAGAGCATTAAGTCTCGGTAAAATGTATCCAGGGCCATATCATTCTGCCATAAGACCGAAGATGCCATCCACATATCTGAACCGTTGAGCTTCACAGGGCAGAATGTCTTTCAGCAGCCTAGCCTAGAAAAACTCCATATACAGATTGCTCAGTAGAGAAGACAATGAATTTCCCAAAACCATTCCCTGCCTCTGAGCACAATATTTCATTTCAAACTTGCAATCAACTACGCACAACTTAATCAGCTCAGTAATGGCGTTCATATCAAAAAGCATGGCGAATTCATTTAATTCATCTTCCAAATAAGATAGGAAATTGGAAACAGGCACTAAGATGAACATCGCCGTGACATCAAAACTTACTAGTGCAAAATCATTAGACATGTTAACATTTTGTAATTTGTCAATGAGATCAATTTTGTTTTTTTATGTGGGCTTCAGAAATGTTGCCAAGCATTGGAGTTAATATATTTACCAACCATTTTGACAGGGAATATGTTGCCGATCCAACAGAGTTCATAATAAGTATTGTTGGAAAACCTGGCTTGTGAGATTAAATCAAACCATAAATGTAAGGGAGTGTCGCAGCTCTAGCAGATAATTGATTAATCACTTCCTCATTATCTTTCAGTAAGGTTTTAAGATGTGTATTAAACTTACTATTGTCATGGTTCCAAGCAAGATCCTAGGATACGAGATCGGCAGATTACTCAACTCTACAACCCACATTACCAAAAGAGTAAACCTAGCGAAAGCCCACCTTGGCCAACTTTATCGATTCAAAGCAGCTCTTCCCCACATCAAACTACACCTGTATAAGATGATGATCAGACCTTTGCTGGAATACCCCTGCGTACCCATGTCGCTCACAACCAAAACCAACATGCTAAAACTCCAAAGAGTCCAAAATAAAGCCCTCCGCTTCATCACGAACACCAGACTCAGAGACAGAATCAGATCAGAGGACCTACACATACAACAGAATCCCCGAAATCAATGTCCGATTAGACAAACTTACTAAGAGACAACTAATGACATGCAGGAACTCTACGTGCCTGACAGAGAGAATTCCCCCCAACCAGTGAACACAACCGACTATACCATCACCACCCCTCCTCACAGATCCCAAAGAATGACCCTCCAACAAAGAGTTTGACGCTTCATCCACAAGGAGAACTTCCCTCGACCTAAAATCTTAAGCGACCTCCCCGCAGACGAAGAATGGATACCACCGGAACCATTCTATGTCCAGTAACACGGATTAGCGCTCCCCATCTCAGGGTGACCCACTTCTATCAACCAACACCTCATAACTGACCTCGTTGCACCTACTACTACAATACAGCAGGACACCACCTCAGTCACTGCCTTACCGGCCGACTCCAGGTGAGCTACCAACCTCCATCAATGCCTGACAACCTTCGCCTGCAGCCGCGCCCTCCTGACCAACCTCTTGCGAAAAAAAAAAGGCAAGCAATTGTACGCTGTATGCATCCTTCCAGTTCAATGACGCACTGGTATAACAACAATATAGCATTGTGAAATTGATGGGCAGAAGGTATACCCTACTCATAAAACCAACCTCTTCATAAATTACTCAATATGCACACACGCATATTCAAATTACACCAAAGTGGATAGGCCACTACCCTTTTATAACCCCACCTACCCCTCCTCCCTCCCCAACCTTTCCCGCATTCCATCCTTACCCATCCTTCTTCCCCCCTCCCATCTTACCAAAGCTCTGGTCAGAACCTCAAACCTCACGGTATTGTGCCGGGTGAGCGTCCCCGCATAATGTCGCGACGAAATTCAAAGGCCTACCACTGCATTATGCCGGGTAATAGCCGTTAGCATGACGTCATGGCCTGCTGCTACACCACAGTGACTCCTCAGTGCTCACGTGGCTACTGTGGTGAGAGAAGTGTTGCACTTTTATCTCTCATCCACCCCACGTTTTGTCCGGTATTATCTTTGATTTTGGGGCTATACATGTTTGATTATGGGTAAAAGGAAGTATTTAACACCTGAAATTATAGCTCAAATCGTATGGCTTCATAAAGCTGGTCACCAGACGAAACAAATAGTGGAGAATCTTCGTGTGTGTGTGAGCGCTCAGTGAGGAACTGGGCGCAGCGTTTCAAGGCTGGTGGCGGTGTCGAGTTACCGTCTGCCAAACTTCGGCCTGGCCCCTCGAAAAAGACATCTGTTCATACCTTAACTGTGTTGAAGAAGCAGCCAGAGAGTACACCTAAGATAACTGCTAGAGAATTGAAAGAAAAGAACCCATATCTTCTTTCAGAGATGTCTGTAAGAGCTGTTAGCAGACGTGTGTCAGACCTGGGCTACAGTAGTCACCGCCAGATTAAGAAATCGATCCTCTCCAAGCCACAGAAGAAACGGAGGCTGGATTATGCAAAGAAATATCTTCACTGGAATCCTCAAAGTACTTTGGAGTGATGAAGCAACCTTCATCGTCACCTGTAACCGTGGGGAACAAGTGTACCGGCCCAGAGGTAGTGACCTGCTAGACCCACGCTACACCTGTGGGACCACCAAACACCTAAACTCGCTCATGGTTTGGGGTGTTTCAGTACTCAGTGTTGATGAACTCTTTGTGCTTCCCAAAAAACAGTATATGAACCAGTATAATTACCTGGAGTTATTGTGTGACAATTTACCTGAGGCGTTTGACAAGTGTGGGGCTACGGTTTTTATGCAGGACGGTGCACCGTTAAGGACTGTGAAGGTCTTTAATGAATGGCCAGTCAATTCCCCAGACCTAAACCCTGTTGAGAACCTCTGGTCAATAGTGAAACGAAGTTTACTGGGCAAGGATATCAGTTCCATCCCACGGCTGGAAGCTGCTCTACATGAGGCATGGAATAATATACCTGCTCAAACCCTCAAGAATTTGCGTGAATCTTCCTACACGGCTGAGGCACGTGACTGAGCGTCAAGGACGCAGCATCAAATATTAAAACCTCGGTAAGTGTGCATTTATATATTATAATCTTTCATGGTATGTGTGTGGGAGAGGGACGGCATAATGCCGTGACGAGCACTGTAGTTCAATGGGTTCTTATTAAGGGGAACGTAAATTTTCCTGGCTTCTAATAAAATTATCATATATAAAAATATATATTTACATATAAACATAACACTCGTTACCTAATATATGGAGTGTCGTTGTTGATAATAACCAACATAGAGTTGAGGTTGGACAAGGTTGTGTGGAGATCCTGCAGCTCCATGAGGCGAGAGTGAGTGAGGATGAGGAGCCTCGTCGACCACACCATGAGGCGCCCCTTGACGGACCACTTGACGAAGGCGGCGAGGAAGGTTGCCTCGTCACTTATCACCACAATTGTTGTGTATGATGACAGTTCCCGCAGCTGTTCATTCAGAAACTCTAGTCAGTAATGTCAATAAATTATATAATCTGCTGAAACATGAGGTTCACCAACCTCAACTGTAATGGGTATAACTCTAGTGTGAATGATTTAACTACTATCAGAGTTTAACACAGCATCTTCGATCCTCCGACATCTCCGACGGGAGTATAGTATTCAGTCCCGGCTATGGCATAAGAACATAAGAAAGAAGGAACACTGCAGGAGGTTTACTGACCCATGCGAGGCAGGTCCAAGTCACCTCCCGGCTTAAACCAATGACCCACCTAGACAGGTCAGGTCAAATCCAATAAAAGAAAGAGCACAGCATTAGACCTATTAGCACAAGCTAGTCAGGTCCAACTCACAACCACCCTCACCCAATCATGTATTTATCCAACCTATTTTAAACTACACAGCTTTTTAGCTTCTATGACAGTACTCGGGAGTTTGTTCCACTCATCTACAACTATATTACCAAACCAATGCTTTCCTGTATCCTTCCTGAATCTGAAATTTTCCAACTTAAAACCATTGCTGCGAGTCCTGTCTTGGCTTGATATTATTAGCATGCTATTTACATTCCCTTTATTTATTCCCGTTCTCCATTTATACACCTCAATCGTATTCAGGGCCCTCAGTCATCCTCACAGGGAACAATTAAGTGGGATCATCTTTGTGATCCTCCTTTGTACGTTTTCCGGTGAATTTACATCCATTCTGTAATATGGTAACCAAAACTGTGCAGCATAATCTAAATGAGGCCTAACCAAAGATATATAGAGTTGAAGAACAACTTGCGGACACCTGTTATTTATGCTTCTTGGTAAGAAGACAAGGATTCTATTAGCTTTATTGCGAACATTTATGCACTGTTGTCTTGGTTTCAGATTACTTTTAGCCAGAACTCCCAGATCCTTTTCTCAATCAGTAATATTAAGATCTACATTATTTAATTTATATGTGGCATGGTTAAAATTTTGCATTTGTCTATATTAAACTGCAACTGCCACTTCTTCGACCACTACATCAGACTATTCAAATCTTCCTGGAGTGCTCTAATGTCCTTATTAGAATTAATTAGGTGACCTATTTTGGTGTCATCACCAAACTGGCTTATACATAACATAAGAACATAAGAACATAGAAGAGAGGAGCTTACGACGACGTTTCGGTCCGACTTGGACCGAAATGTAAATGGTCCAAGTCGGACCGAAACGTCGTCGTAAGCTCCTCTCTTTTATTTGCGGGTTATTTCTGTATCGTTCCAGTCACGGTATTGTGCCTTTTTTTATTTATAAACTGGCTTGGTGCTATTTATTCCTTCATCAATGTTGTTTACATAAACTGTGAACAACTAAAGGCCCAACACTGACCCTTGTAGAACCCACTCTGATTTCTCCCCATTAATACAAACTCTCTGTTGCCTATCTGTTAATCATGCCTCTACCCAGGAAAAAAATTCTCCTCCTATTCCGTGTGCCTTAATTTTCCTCAATAGCTTCTGATGTGGAATTCTATCAAAAGCCTTACTGAAGTCCATATACACAATATCATATTCCTTACCATGATCTGTCTCCTCAAATACCTTGGTGAAAAAAGTCAGTAAATTCGTCAGGCAGAAACGCCCCTTTGTAAAACCATGCTGAGATTCATTAAGGGAGCTAGCCACTCTCTGCCCTCTACTGTCTCTCTTTCTTTGTTGATCAATTGCTTTCTTTGCCTTTACAAGCAACTTTATTTTGAATTTCGTCTAGGAAACATATTCCTGAGGTATCCTGGTAATATCTGTTGTTTTCATCCCTAGTACTGCAGCTTGACTGTTTCCCACACACACCCATACCTCTA